GGTTAGCGCTGTTCCATTCCCGCTCACGGCCAACACCCAGTGACGATTTATCCGAACCGGTCCTGAGCCTCACCTTTGGTCGACTCAGGCTCGAACCAGTACCTGGTGCGGTGTGCGCTTCGCATCAGCCCTTGGGAGGCACAGGTGGCGAGGCGTGGTGCTTTCGATATAGGTGCCACTCGCTCATCGGCACTTGCCCCAAACTTATGTCAAGGCTAAACGTGGGATCTTTGTCCCGCGCCTCCGATAAGCACGGTTTGCTACGTACGGTGCGAAAGAAGTTTCAACACACACACACTGAGATACAGGGAGAGAGAAGGGGGAGAGGCAAATGCACAGCCCTGCAATGGCCTGCCCAAGCCCCTGCTGGATAAAGGTGCTCGTTAGTCGATCGCCTTGCAGGGCGTGCGTGTGTGGTGTGACCACGTGCATCCGTGATTACATCATAGGTACCATCATCATTACATAACAGTTACCGTAGTTATTATTATTATCATCAGCAGCAGCAGAAGGAGCCGTGATCTGTTGTCGACCGCTGGACGAATGTTCAGAGGCAATGGAACAACTCCAAGCGGAAGGAAAAAAAAGCGTGCAAAGGAACATTTAGAGCAGTGGTCTTCATCGCAAGGCCCTGATGGGCCGTTGGTGGCCTTTAGTGCGAACCGCAGCTCCCACCGACAACACACAACCAGCGGAGACACCCCCGATCATCATCATCATCATTGTGCTGCTGTCACAATAGTTCCACATGGTGTAGCGTCCCCCAGTGCCGGATCATCCTCGTAGCAAAAGTAGCTGCACAAAATTCTAGATTTGAAGCTTTCGTGACTGCAAGGATTCATGCTGTTTGGTTTTATTCGGTAAAGTCACGTAGATAAAATAAAACAAAAATAAAAGAAAATAATTAAATCGCGACGTTTCGGAGGCAACACAAGCTTCCGTCTTCAGGTGGAAAAGTCAACGCAGAATATCTGTGTCAGGAGCACAGTTCAGAGACAAACACGATGCCTTGAATAAAGGTGTCAGTTTTTGTGCCAGTTAAAAGGGTAAAACCTATTCCTATATCTTGTTACTGGCAAAGGAGGTCTCATAATGTAAATGCTCACCCCGAGCCCTCAATACTCTGATAGTGGCGCTGTTTTTGAGTTGTACGCCTTTTGGCGTCTTCTGGTCCAACACCAGTGGAGACTAGGCTCTAAGAAAAGCTGTCTCGGGTGTGGACCAATCAAATTCAAGGACAGTGCCAATATTATTATCAGAGTTGTCTTTTTAGTTTGCATTTTGACAGCTTGTGTTGTGGTTATTTCAAACATGATGCCTTGAATAAAGGTGTCAGTTTTTGTGCCAGTTAAAAGGGTAAAACCTATTCCTATAACCGGGATTATATACAGGTTAAGGGAGGGGGGAGGAGTCAGTAAGGGGGCGTGGGTGGGTGGGAGGGGCTGGGTTAAGCAGCCTTTTGATAGGCTGCTGCGGGTAACACCCACTTCGCTCTGCACAAAGCTACGGGCCCCGCACTTTCAAGGGCCCAGCGCTAAAACGCTTTCAAACTATCAATTCCGGTGCAGTGATTCTGCACTTGCTCTAGTACTACAGTACTATACCGCCTTCAACTTTTACGAACGACTGGGTGTTTACGGTTAGCGATTCGTCGCATTATCTGACTGTATACAAAAAATGTAAAAAAAAAACTACAATTACTTTACTATGATGCGAGTAAAAAAAATGAGTGTGTTTATTTTTTTTTATTTGGCTTAATCCGGCACTGTGCGTCCCTCGCTCACACTGACGATGTCTTGTGGGCGAAAGTGGCACCCCCCCCCCCGCCCCTGAATATTAGTGAAGAACACTGCTGTAGAGATTCCACTGAGAGACGGGTAGAGGAGCTCGTGGGTTAGCGAACACAAGCTAGACCAGGGGGGGGGGGAGCAGCTCATCCAGTAGTGGATAGAGCGTGGCTGGTGCAGCGCAGACACGCGAAATCTCATCTCACCTTCCTGACCCATACTTCAATCGTTCCGGTGCAGGTGACTGTGGCAGGCGATCTGTGCGGAACAATGCGACTCGTGTTAATGTCGCAGCGGTCCTCTGAAAAATGAAGACGTTTTCGGCCAACTGAATGAGTTTTATTTTTCTTCTTTTAAACGCGCCTGTTGAAACCGGTTGCACGTCGAGAAAACACGCACGCGCAGTGGGACAAGATTCTGTTTTTTTTTTACCGAGGCGCTCCGGTTTCCTCCCACACGTGGTGGCGAGATGTTAACTACATCGCCCGGTACACAGGAGGTCGTGGCTTCGATCCTGACGCCTGCTGTATATTTAAACTTAAACTGAATAATTGTTTATTTTTTTATTTTTTACGAGGTTAGGCTCACTGAGCTAAATAGTTAGTTTTCAGAAGCGACCTGGCCACAAATGATCGGTCAACGAAGTGGCTCGTCACGTGGACAATGTGGAGCAGCCGAAACGCATGTTTCCAAATGTGGAGGGAAGACACGCAGGAACCGGAGAAAAATACACACGACTACGAGAGAGAGAGACATCCAAACTCCAAATACTCCAAATACCCGTCAGGGTCGGGGTCGAACCCACGACCTCCTGCATACCAGGCGAGGGAGCTAACATGCCTGTTTTTCCTCCGGGTCCTCCGGTTTTTCCTTCCACATTTAGAATCAACAACGCGCGTTTAGAGAATGTGTCTGCTACTATACATTTCCACGTGACGAGCCACTTTCGGTGAGCTATAATTTGTGGCCAGGTCGCTTCTTTCTGAAAAAAAGCATCTAAATAACTCAACGGGCCTGACCTGGTAAAATATAAATTGTTATTAGTTTAGTGAAGAGACAGCGTTGATGACGGTGATCGTGATGATGAGTTGATGACGATACACAGACATACTTATAAAGCGTTTAAACAAAACATTATTCGTAATATGTATTTATACTGGAGGAATCCGATGAGCTATACAGCTCCCCTTCACAGACGTCCAGTCGGGGCGGGCAAGAACGTTACAACAAACAACACAAAACATACGATAGGAGTGCAAAGGCCAAGAAAGATCAATAAATCACCGAAAAAGATAAAAACATCCTCCTCCTACCAGGCCAAGCCCACTGAAGTACTAACATGATGATGATGGTAGCGCTGCTGCGGATGATGATGATGATAAACATGAGCGTGTATTGTGTTCACGCTGCTGATGATGGTGTTGGTAATAATGGCGTTGCTGATGATGATAGCGTTGCCAATAATTACGTTGCTATTAATGATGATGATAGTGATGATGATTGCTTGCTGCTGATGCTGATGATGATGAGACACAATCCGTAGGTGTTGGGGGTTATGGTTGTTTTCACGGAACAGATGCTGCTGATGATGATCATGGTGATACTGCGTTTGGTTATTATTATAGAGGGGAGCGTATTGTAGTGGTTAGTGCGACAAAACGGGTGACCCGAATTCGATTCCCGATTATCTGAACCGGTCCTGGGTCTCCCCTAAGTCGACTCAGCCTCAAATGTGTCGCTGGTGCGCTGTGTAAAAACACCGCCACTGGGGAGACAAAGGCGGTCGGGCGTGCTCATGGCCACCCACCCCCATGCGTACCGTGCCCAGCCTTCATAGATGCTCGCTAAAAACACTTGCCCCAACAGTCTAGTAAGGCTATGCGGGGGATCTTTGTCTTTGGTTATTATTCTGCTGATGATGATGCTTCTACGGTTTCCCTGATGCTGCTGCTAATGATGCTGCTGATGATGTTGCTACTGCTGCTAATAATGCTGCTGCTGATGATGATGATGCTACTGCTGCTAATGATGCTGCTGATGATGATGCTGCTGTTGCAGCTGATGATGATGAGTATTCAGCAGATTACCAGCGCTTGCTTGCATGCTCCGCGCCTGGGCGATGTGTGACGCTGTGATTTTAGACCTGGTTTATATATATACACCCTCTGTATACACACACGCTCGTGTGTGTATGTATGTATATGTGTGTATATGTGTGTGGTGATTCTATATTTATATACGGGTCCGTCCCGTGACCAGCTCCTGCCAGCCATCCTTGGTCGACACTTCACGTGACCGCCTCAAAGTGAAAGTGCACCGAGCTTGGCACAAGCGATGTGGTCACGTCATCGCTACATAGTGGCTAACGGCGGCTGTTGTTGGTGTGTGTACATATGTAGTGAGACAAAGGCGGCCGGGCTTGGTGCTGGCCACCCAACCCCCCCCCCCCCCCAACCTCTTTGTGTGCCGTTCCGGCCTTCATAGGTGCTCCCTAACATGACTTGCCCCAAAAAGCCCGTTAAGGCTATACGGGGGATCTTTGTCGCTGTATGTATGTACGTGTGCAATGCGCGTTCACACAGAGACTAAGATTCCCCCCAATGCGGCTTTCGGTTCCGCAAATTCTGGGTCTCGCTTCGCTTCGCGAGAGGATCTGGCGACTCGGACATTTCCTGTAAATGATTGTGTAGCAGAATAACACCGCCTCTGTGTGTGTGTGTAGGTGTGTGTGTCTGTGTGTGTGTAGGTGTGTGTAGGTGTGTGTTTGTCGTGGGGAGTGGTAGTGTAGCGGTTAGCGCGCTGCAGTGCGCTGCAGCGCGCTAACCTGGTGACCCGAGTTCGATTCCCGCTCACGGCCAACACCAGTGACGATTATCTGAACCGGTCCCGGGCCTCCCCTAGGTCGACTCAGCCTCAAATGAGTACCTGGTGCGGTGTGTAAACATTGCCACTAGGGAGACAAAGACGGCCGGGCGTGGTGCTGGCCACTCATCCGTTGTGCGCTGTGCCGGCCTTCCTTTATATGTGTTCGCTAACACACGCACACACGCACAAGCGCGCAGTACTGCACTAACACACACACACGCGCGCAGTACGCGCGTGTGTGTGTGTGTTAGAGTATGTGCCTTGCGCAGCGCATTCACTTAACTTAGTTGGTATTAACACCTTAGAAGGCAGTAGCCCAGAGGCTGACGAGTTGTTTTTTTAACATGT